TTTTTTTTTTTTTCTCATTAGGAAAAAAAATTAAATAAATAAAGAAAGAAATGATTGGAAAATTTAGATGAGCGAGTGTGATCGAAATTAGGAATGTATGCGAGATTAGTTTTTCATGGTTAATTGATAACTTGCCACTGAACAAGAGAACCTAGTAAGTTATCAACTACAAAGAAAAACAACAGACAAAAACAAAAGAACCTAAAGGCTAGAAAATTCAAACCAATCCTGTACAACAGTATTTGCATCCGAGATTTTAGACCTGGAAGAATTTTGAAAACCCAATGGTTTCTTGATTTTTAAATTCAACAAAGCAAATAAGAAGTGAGTTGGATTCTTTCGTCAGTAGTGCTTGAAGAACTGAGAGAGAAAACTTTGAACCACCAAGATTTGAAGCAACCAGTCTCTTTGTGGAGTCCATCCCAAGAAACAAAAGTTAGCTTCTAGTTCTTTTATCTCTAGCACACTGAAAGATTAAGTGTTCTTGTGATTTTGGAACCTCTTCACATATCTTACAAGTGAGATCAATCTCTAAACCTTTCCTCAAAAAGTTGCAGTTGATAGGATAGATAATATTGTTCACACCTCTCCAAAGAAAATGCTTGAGTTTACCTTTGATTTTTTTTTTTTTTATCTCCGAAATCTCAGTTTGGCTTTCCTAGCAACTTTCTGATGAATGTTAATCTTAGTCATATCCAACTTTTTCTACTATTTCACCACCAGTACAACATAAGTTGATGCAACAGAAAACGAACCTTGTTTTCCCAGTCCCAAATAAGTTTGTCATCAATGGCAGGATTCAGACAATTAATGTTTAGAAATGCTTGATGCTCTTGCTCATTGAAAATCTCCCTTAAAATGTTTTTGTAAGATCTCTACCATTGTCTTTCACTAAGTTTCTTTACCCAAGTGAACTCCTTGCCTCTTTGTTATCTGCCGATGGGTTGAAAACCAAGAAGATTAGGGTCCAAGGGTCTTCCCAAATTTTGGTAGTGCAAACATTGTTGATCTTAAATCTGATGCCACACAGAAAGTGCTCTTTTACCTTTAGCCAAATGCTCAACATCCAAGAACTGCTTTGCTTTTTGGTAGCAAAGAAGAAGCTTCCTCTGGGAAAATATCTGGCTTTGAGGAGTCTGCTGACCAGGAGGTTTGGCTGAGACAAAATCCTCCAAAGTTGTTTAACTATCATGGCTTTGTTGAATAAATGAAGGTCATGGAAGCCAAGTCCACCTCTGTCTTTGGGAAGTGTGATATGATTCCAAAATTTTCGGTGCAACCCTCTTTTTGTAAGATCACCTTGATTCCATTAGAAATTAGCAAAGTGTTGAGTCATCCTTTGATTGATTCTTTTGGCAAAAGGAAGCAAGATATAGCATATGTTGGCATTGCACCAAGGACTGATTTCAGCATATGTCTCTCCCTGCAAAAATATATATACATATATATATATATATATATATTTATATATATATATATTTCCAATTTA